TGCTATGCTAAAAAAACTCCAATATCAGACAATTATAGAGTAATTAATATTTTCCCAAATATGTTATCACAAATATAGACGAGCTCTACCAGAAAATTTTACTGTATTTCATAAAAACCGGGAAGTTTAAAAATTATGTTTGTTCTTCACAACAATTTCGCTATTATTTTCTATCACAATTTAAATTATTAAAGTAATCGATGATGATTTCAATAAACACATAACTATGAACAATTATAGGCCTGAGCTTATTTCTATTTGTTGATGTAATTCATCAGAAATTTACTGCAAATTGTGGTTGCGGTCGCGGGTTTTCTTTGTTCCGCAAATATATTAGTACAAAAATCTTAGAATTGTAACGAATTCTTCATAAATGAAATAACCGTTGAAATTGAGTTTGTTGGAATGCATTTCTGTAAAATCCTTAACTTGAATACATAAAATAATAAATATAGCAACTTATGACGATTCTGTACAATAATTGTTGAAATTCATTGAATAAATTTTCTATATATTGAAAATTTATATAAAACCAAGCTAAAACTTATTCTTCATTCGATATATCTAATAATTAATCACAGCATCCTTCGGATCAACATTTTTTTGATAATCTTTGTGACCAAAGAAATGATTGCATTTTGTGAAATTAGAATTGTTGATTAGTATTCAATATCAACCTATTCAAGTAGGAAAATTATAGTTTTGTCATAAAGATCTGAACAATAAATTGACAATGATTATAATTGTAATTCTACTTTTTGAGTATTGAACTCTGTCATTCATTTTATTATAATTTTATAGCGTCGAAAAAAACTAATTAAAGTTGTAATTTCATTTGATACTGATACATGCTTACTGGTTTCCTTTCACTTACAAAACGCAAGTCATAAGTCTAATTGTCAAAATTCTTTTATAATCAATAAAATGCAAAATCACGATTTAAAATGACTGAAATCAAAGCGGTAGTTTCGGTTAAACCCGTCTATGTAAAAGTCATACATAGCAAAAAAATAGAGTTGCGGATAGACGGAATTGCCGAACGTTTTTTTATAAGTTTTGCTATTTTACGAATTTTGGAGTTGATTTGAAACCACAGTAATTTTTTTAGTTCGAGTGAACAATTTGTATTTATTGAAGATCGGAAGTAAATGACCACAGGCCTTAACTTTGTGCGCTTGACATTGACCGACTTCTACGAAAATCTTTCAAATGTTGCCATTACATATATATGATTAATAATTTCGCAGTAAATGAATGAGTGCTTTACGGTTATGAACACGTGTTGTCTGGGGCGAATAAAACGGTACAATTATATTTTTATTTGCACGTTCGATTTTATAATTAATAAGTTGTTTTTTGTCTATCCATCGAATTTTATAATATTTATTTTAAACAGAGATTTCTAGCAAAATACACAAGGAATACATTTTGATTAGAAATTAGTAGATACCCAACGTTGCATGTAAGAATATGACTTATATTCTTAGAACATACTCTGTTGTATGTGTCTATTAATTTCTAATCAAAATGTTTTCGTTGTGTATTTTGCTAGCAATCTCTCTTTCCTTATTATATTATATAGGAACTTTATAAATTGATCATTAATTGTTGCTAGTTATCAAAGTTATGTATAATATATGGGCCAATTCAACTGTGCAGTGAAAGAGACCAATGTTATGGCAAGACTGTGTTACGTTTTTGCGTTTTTCATATAAAATGGTACTAAAAACTGTAAAAATGGCATGTGGTTGGTGTGCAGTCAGGCGTTTCAAATAGAAAACCTAACTTATAAAACTCACCAACGTTAGAAAAAAGAATCTTATCATAAGTGCATCTTTCTGATGTGTCATAAAAATGGAACTTTTCACATAATATATGTGAGAAGTTGCATTTTATGTGTAAAACGCCTGATTCCACAGCAAATAGATAGTATTTTTAAAGATTTCAGTACCATTTTATATGAACAATGCAAAAAAGTAACATAGCCTTGTCATAACATTGGTCTATTTTACAGCAGAATTGGTCCAATAATCGCTGTAAAATATGAAACAGCTAATTTTATGCATGTCATATTTTTCTTGTACCGAAATGTTTTACCTCTGTCAAATATTTTGGGTCGTGGCCCAGTTTTAAATAATTTTATATATTTTTTTCTGAATTCGTTATTATTTTCTTTCATTTTTAGTTTTCATTTAAATATTAAATTCTCATTAATTAATTCAATTCAATTAAAATAATTCACATTAAAGTTTGAATATGAATACCAGCTTATTCTAGTTTCAGTACTGTTTTAAATAGCATATTTCCTTTTAATTGTTATTCAGACAATAATTAAAGTTGCACCTATCTCCACAACAGTTTGTTCCCATGCCTCAATTAATCATTTGCAAAAAAGTAGACAATTAATTTAAAAGTAAAAGTTTAATTAGATGATGTCATAGACGTACATGAAAAATGACACACTTTTTTATTAAGACTTACATATTATATTTTTTTACCAATAAAGAGTATAAAAGATTTCGAAATAGCCAGTAATAATAAATTACCGATTGGCATCGTTAGATAAAAGGCAATAAAGTTTCTCCGTGGTACTTCAAACAATGCGTACATTATTTATCAGCACGTTGTCGGGTTTTCCAAAAATAATTTCATGGTGTATTCGTTTGCCACAATGAACCATAATGACTAACAGAAATAAATTGTGTTGAGTATTTTTCCTAAGTTAGAATAATACAATTCATTCTTTTATAATCAAATTTATAATTAACAATTTCGTCATTTGGGATGTGTAGATGTTAGTACCATATAATGTACCTCTTAGATTTTTTTTAAAATTTATGACGCTTTATATATGGTGTAAAGTTTTTTATTACATTATTTATTTATTTAAAGTTGTTTTATTGCGTTTATTTGGTTACTTCGTGTTTTAGAGGACATTCAGTAATTTGATGTAACCGTTCTACAAAAACAAGTTCTTTTGTTATCGGCTCATTTATTTTGGATCCAGGTAACGACAAGAGCAATTATTACAGAGGTCGAAATAGACGCAAGTAGACAACATATCACCTCATTCTAGTTATTTTATGAATAATGCATTATTTAAAATAATGTGACAAAGTCCTTATCAGCTACGTGGTGTCCTTCAGATAAAGGAAAACATGGCGAAAATACAGGTGTCGCCACGGCGCAAAACGATTAGTTTTATTGTATCAATCGGCTTGGGTTTTCCACAAGGCTATTTTGTCCCTGCTCTCTAATAATATTGTTTTATTTTCAATATTTACCTAGATATGTGTTTAATTAATCAAATTGTATATAGATAATGTTGTGGACACTTGGTCGTATCTCGATTCTCTCGAATCGCAATTAGACGATATGAAATTTTGAGCAAACATAACTCGCGTAAATAAATACTCATGAGGGAGATATCTGATCGTACATTTGCTTTAATCATAAATATTGGAAAATTTTATTAGATGTTCCATTGAATTATTTTGTTAAGCGGTGTTGCTATGCGGTGCTCTGCTCAGAAATATCCTAAGATCACAAGAGTCTTATTGAATGAGCTTTAAGTTTGTGAAAGTTCAAATTTAGACCTCTCATGTTTTGATTTTTGAAATATGTAAAGTTATTGTATTTTGTTATTTAAAGATAATATTGTAAACAATTATACGATATTATTTCTACATGCGTCATAACAATAATACTAGTGATGGTAAAAAATCCAACATTACTCATAGACGTTTTAATACGTACTTTGGTTCAGAGGTGTTCAATTGATCATCATTTTTAATTGACTAAACTGATAAAAAAGTAGGACATGGATCATGCAATAAGAAACTTGGAAACTATTACCCATTTGAAACTACATTTGTATGTTAATAATTTCAACTCTTTCATAGTAATTTAAGTAAAAGTTATATACGAGAAACATAAATACGGTAAAATCTGGCCATGACAATATTTATGCTTTATCGGTTAAAAATAAGAAATCGTAAAATGTAATGTAAAAAGTATAAAATGTAATGTAAAAGTGTAAAGTAGTTATTGTATAGTTTGCTACGTAAAATAAAACAAACAAAAATATTCCATTGCTACAAACTAAGTAAATAAGAAAAATAGTATTTAGTACCTATAAAAATCATAGTTCAATCTTAAGATGAGGAGCTTGCCATAATTTAAAACACGCTTATAAACAACTGGTTGTAAATAAATAATTTATTTCAATATCAGTTGAAAATATTTATCAGCATATCCCATGTGGAATTGATTCATCTGTTTATACGGAAAATTATTTAAACTAAAAAACATCATCATTAGCACTTCCCCTTATATGTAAACGGCAAAAAACTAACGCTAAACAATAGTGAATCATCTCATTGCTCTCCTAGATAGTAATGAAATTGGTATTTGCGATCTATAAAAAATGACAGCATACTACTAAAACCTGTTATGCAAAACGCCCTATTATTTATGTATTTTTGTTGAGAAATTTGAATATTTCATTTTGTATGAATACAATATATGTGAGCATGTATATATATATATATATATATATATATATATATATATGCGTTTTTATGGTGTCTAATTCCTGGTGGTTAAGCCAATACACGATGGGATACATACAAAATTACATCATTTACACTTATACATTTACAAGATCATACTTCTGAATAGTATGATTTAACGAACTTCCATGAAGGCGTCTATAAAATGTGTTAATCTGTGCGTTTAATTTAAAACAATAAGAAGGAACTTTTTAGCTCAACGTTTTACTAATTATAATTTGAACAATAAAGTTATATATATATATTGTAAGCCTAACCGCTTAATTCCAATTTAACATCAGGATGATCATCAATGGAAACAATTTTACATTCATTAACTATTTACTTTGATACTCTAATAGTCTTACACCAATTCCACCATCCAATCTTACGTAAATCTTATGTCAATATCTGAAATATTTTTTAAACATGTTTTTTTTTTAATTTCAGGCGAAGTCTGTATACATATGGCTGCTAAGGATAGGCATTTTGATATCATTCGTCACCTGGTTTGGTATGGAGCTGACATTAATGCAAGGGTAAGTTTCCTATTAACTTTATAGATTTTAGTTTTAAATAAGACATTAATTCCAGTCTTATTTAATAACATGATATAACTTCAATATCCCAAATTAATTGAAGATTGCCTAACAATAATATTACAAAAACTATATATTGAGTGAAATCAAATTTCAATTTATTGCACTAGATCAATCAGCAATATTTGAACCATATCGATATTACACAAAGGTTAAACAAGTACATGGAGCTAATGAATAATTCTTATTATAGGAAGGAAAATCTGGATGTACGATTCTCCATCAAGCAGTAAAAAATAATGATAGACCATTTGTAGCTTTCTTATTAAACGAATGCCCTAAATTAGAGCTTGAGACTGAAACATATGCAGGAAGAACAGCCTACCAGCTTGCTACAGATAAGGTAAGGCACAAAAATTTATTAGAGAAAGAATTTGTTTTTTCTATTTACTATAATTGTATCATATAACAAAATATAGTATATAAATAAAGTAGTATCATACACACTATAGTTTTGCACTCTATAGTTAAAATTTTTTACGTTAAACTATCTTAATATAAAGTTTAAAATCTGTAACTAATATAATTTCTTTGTTCACAGGAAATTATGTCAATGCTAGAAAGTAAAGGAGCTATACCACTAGAACATTCAGATGATGAATTTTCAGATTCAGATGACCAGGAGGTATGTATTTAACATTTTTGCAAAATATATATTAGTCAAAAATATATCAAAGATAACTCAATGATATATGAATCTAAATTTTTCATACAAAGTAGAAAATATAATTTTGCAATTGACTTCAAAAGACTTTCATAATAACTTTGAAAACGCTTAGATTTTATTGTTTTTAGGAAATTGAACCATTAAGTTTTTATGATCACGATTTGAATACTAATATTAATTTTTATTTTTTTCTTTACAGATGTCGAGTAGTAGTACACAAAAATTATACAACAACCATAATTTTCAAACGAATGCAATCAACGTAGCATAATTTCGATCCTTAAGAATTTAGGAAATAAATATAAAATTACATATTATAATTTATAAGATTTAAGAGAAACTGTACAAAATTGGAGTATACAGAATATATATGTCGATATATATTCAAATATCTCCAGTAATAATAAGACATAGACTGATAATAAAAATATTGTGAATATTGAAAATGTGGATTCGGAAATGAATAATTAACTGATAGAGGATATTTCATAAAATCAATTGATCTATATCTTCAAATGAAATGAAATACAAATTCACATGTGCAATGGATCAATATTTTTATCTTAGGTTCTAATATCCTAAAAATAACTGTTATAGTTTTTAAATAATTTCTGCTACTATTGCTGTGTCTATTCTTGCATATGCATGCATGTATATTTTAATCATTTAAAATAGATAGAAAAATTATATTTGTAATATAGATTTAGGAATTCCAAAAGTTAAAAATTAAGCTTTATGGCTATTAACACGAAAAAGATGAATAACAAACATAATGTGCCTTAAATAAAACATTATTTGTCAAAATAATGTTATTTGACAAAATATAGCAGAAACAAATCGATGACTGTCGCTTGTTCAGTAATTTTTATATTAAAAATTACGCGTTTCTTTACTATATTTTGCAAATAATACAAAATAAAATGGATATTAGATTGTAATTGTATACATAAAGTTATATTATAGTTTCTATTTATTACTGAAATTTAGGATAAGTTGATATCATGAAGAATAATTTCAATCAAACAAAATAAATGATTCAAACTGAAATATGCTCTCACTGGATGATAATTTAAGCCATAAATTTAATGCATACTTCATAAAAATTTGTGTACTTATGACAAAATTTCACAATACATGAAAAAGTGATTTATAATTGAAGCCAGTGATTTTTGCGAGCTAGATTGTTTGTTTAGTTTGATGTGAACTAATAATAATCTATTTTTTGTACCGTATATTTATCATATCATTGTAAATACCAAATCATAATAGTAAATATTTCAAATGAAATATCTAAAGAAATATATTGCTGTAAGAATGTTTAAAGTAAGAAATAATGTCGTTAAATGTTATTGGATTTATGAATAAATGTTGTAATAACATCAAAACTGTGATTTAATCCTGTATACAAATTATGCATTTAGAACATATTATTAATATTCACAATATAAATATCTAAATAATAAGAACATGTTCATATTTTAATTTTTTATATTCATTCTCATATCATAAGAATTCTCAGAAATATTGATGCATACTAAATTTAAGCTTTTTGCTTTTGTGCTTGAATTTACAAATTTTTTCATAATAATTTCTACCTTAACTAAGTTAACAATTCCAAGTAAGTTTTTTGTGAATATATTAATTTTTTAGTTAAGTTGTATTTTGCTAAACCGCCGTTATTCCTAATTCCAGGATATAATTTGACTCGTGACATTATGGGAACTGTACACTATTCTGTAGTAGCCCTCGATGCATATATTTTTGAATATAATCACTTGATAAATGTGTTTGAATAGTTTATAAAAAATATGGTTATTCAAATAATAATACTCGATGTAATCCTAAACACTTATCTAATAAATTTTTTTGAAAATCTGAAGAATATAAGAAGTTAAAAAACTTTCGAAACAAAAATATTATAAAAGCTGCACTCATTTCAAACATGTCAAAAATATTAACATTCTTCACTCACTTCAATCCCGTAAAAAATTATTAGTACTAGTCATTATCAATACTTAAAGTTTATCATAAAAAAATAAGTCAAATGAAAAATATGAAAGCATAAACTTAGTAGTCCATAATCAATCTTAAATCTTCATAAATATTTAAAGTAACAGGTCATAAACAATAAACTAGAACAAAAATATAAATTTTAAGCAAATATGAAGTTGGAAGTCAAACGTATATTTAAAGAATATCAAATTGACAATGCCTAATTGTCTAAACTAGCTTAAATCAAATTTGATTGGAAATTTTATATATTTTCGAACATTTGAAAATAGATGAAGTACCATTACAACGTTTTTTAAAGCCTTTTCTAGGACTTTGAGTGATTATTTATTTGGAGCCATTGATCTTTGAAAAACATGAAAATAAGTGATTTATTTTAACAAAATCGAGCCCTTTTTGAAACAGATGATAACTGGGGATGAAAAGTGGCTTACATACAACCTCTAATTATCATTTGTTTAGTCCTTCAAAAATTTTTTTTGACTGACATTAAAAAATGACATTAAAAATGGCATAAAGCGAATTGCCCTCACGCTGTCAAAACATTATTAATAATAAATGCAAATATTTTATTAATCTTTTTAAATTTATTTTAAAATATAACCCATAGCATAGTTTCAAGAGGATTTAATAATACAATTATTATAAATATAATATGAATAAATTACGGTATATAGATAAAGGATAGTTGGCCAAGAATTAGAGAACAGTCTTCTATAGCACTATTGCAAAGTTTAAATATGAACATAAAAGTACAGATAAATTATATTATTTAATAAAGTTAATTGGCGATAGAAAAAAATAGATTTAATCCACAAACGGACAAAATTGTCCGGCAGACATAATAATTTAATAAATTAAGATATATTCTTGGGCCAAATCGAAAACAAAAATTTTTGCACATCTTCACGATTTAAAGGTTTCTGAATATTTCAGAAAAATGGATATGTGTGTGTGTTTTGTATGACCGCATTTTTTCGTCCACGTTTTCAGGCGAATGGGTTAACCGATTTTGGGTGGTTCAAAAAATATTCAATTCCTATTGATACGGAGATGTGCTGATGATTAGTTTTTTTCAAAAGCAGGTCCCGCCGTTACGGAGAAACGGAGCAAAAAGTGCAGAAAATAGAAATTGAGTGTTTGAGAAAACGAACTATCCGATTTAAATGATCCAAACATTCAATTTGTAATGATTAGTAGAAGAGGTGATTAGTTTTTGGCAAGGGCAGGCCCCGCCATTTCAAACATACAGAGCTAAATGTACAAAAAATGGCAGTTTTTGAGAGAACTAAGCATCCGATTTGAATGATTCAGAAAACTTTCTGCTTGTGTTGATAAACCAACTGCTTTGGGGAAAAAAATGTTTAAATTTTTTTTTTTAAAAAAATTTTCTTTTGTATATCGAAAGTAATTCAAATTTTAATTTTAATTCTGGTTAAAGCTGTAAAGCCACTTATATACTTTAAATAAATAATTTTAACTTTGTAATTCAGTTTATATTTTTCTAATGAATATTAGAAAATTTTACAGAAATTATAATAATCTATTTGAAAATTTAATATTCTACCAACATTTTGTTACGGTACGGGATGTTCTAACAATTTGCCTTAAGGCACGATGCTTTACACTACTGGTTAATATACAGGTGATACCCGTACGGAATTGTCCCTAGTTCTCTGCATACTTACATACATTTCCGTGCACTGGCAAATCCGCACTCTATAAATACTGGGCGCTACGAGGTTTGCCTCTATTTTTATAAAACTTCTATAACATAATTAATTGATTAAAAGATAGAAACTAATTATTAATAGATAAAAAGATAGAAACAAATAATTTCCTTTTTACTACGATATTCTAACTATATTGGAATAATGAAATTAAGTGAAAAATTCAGGTACGTTTTTACGAAGAAATAGTAAATTCTTAGAGTTCACATACATAGATTTTCCAAATTTGAGCTCAAATGATTTAAAATGACTTGAAACGTCAAAAAAACAAATTAGTAAATCGTATTTTCAGACAAAAACATAAAGTTCTTCTTAGGAAAGTAAATAAGAAAAATTTAATAAAGCTAATTTAGTACCCTTTATCATTAAATCAAAATTTTGGTTTGAGCTAAATGCAGGTCCTCCTACGCACACATACCGATTTATAATCGAAAAGAAAATAAATACCGTTCTAAATACTTATGACGTGATTTTTAATCGCGGATTAAATACATACGGATTATTGTTGAATATTTTACTTTGTATATTTTCGGATACTTCTTTATCTGACAAGCGGGTGTCATTTACAAAAACATTCAGTTCTTTTTACTGGAAATGAAGACTTAAATATGATATTAAATCTTTATGAAACAATTAACATATGCACAAGTTAAGTTTTTTATCTTCAATAGTTCGTTCGTCGTAGTAATTTTAAATTAGTTTTAATTACTATTTAGTTTTTACCATTATGTTTTACTAATTGTATTTTTAAGACTTTCTGGTAGTACCCTGTTAACTATGTCATCAAAATAAATAAATAATTTAATTAATAGGAAACATAAAGTAAATGATAGAAAATTTGATTCGTTAATAAAAAAAGATTTACTCAATTCTATTTAATACAGTGACATATAGAAAATCAATTTTTTTATACATACAAAATTTATTCGCTAATAAAAAAGATTTACTCGACTCTATTTAATACGTGAAATACATATAGAAAATCTATTTTTTTTATACTACGTCGATTCTGTGAATCGAAATTATGAATAATAAAATAAACAACATGAATCTCATATTTATATACATATACAAGAATTATTAACATTTGAGAATTACACTATCAGGACGTTGTACAAGAATATGACACTAATCCCGTATTAAACGCGTTAAGTCGATTGCCTGAAATTCTGAACAATATGCCAAATTCGTACACACACATATACACACACACACACACACACACACACATATATATATATATATATATATATATATATATAATATATATATATAGACAGAGTGTCCCATAACTCAACTTGAAGTTGAAACAATACTGTCAAGTTTTGATTGTATCACAAAAAAACTTTGAAAGAAAGCCTCAAAGTTATGAGCTTTTGAAAGCACAAACAAAGCTTTTGTCAAACACAAACTGTGAACATTTATCGGTTATTGTGGTTAATTTTTTTTTATTTTTTATTATTTAAACTTTAAACCGTTTCTAGAAATAAAGAAGATATTGCCCTAACTATTCCAAAATTAAGACTATTTGTTAAACTATAAATTTAAATTTATTAAATAATATATTGATAGATACTATTAAAATTCATCCTTATTTGAAAAGCACTTGTGTAAAATTGATTATTCGAAAATGAAATGAAATAAAATACACATAATAACAGACATTAAAAATGTTGAAGTAAAAATCTTTTTCATTGTTTTACGCTTTGATATTTGATAAAAATTATGATTTTTCTTTTGTCAATGGAGAAAACATAGAATGCAATTCAAACAAGGATATGAAACAATAGTGTTTTAAATCGCAAGTAAATATTTTTTTGTTTCTCAATTTTTTGTTTATTTTGTGCAAAATTAGACACATAATTCAATCCTCTGGAAGTTTTGGAACTTTATGTCATCAATCATCCAACTATATTGTTCTATATAATTTTTTTTTCCACAAAATAAAGTTTGATGGTGTATCTAGTTCCAATGTGACGAGACTAAACATCTAAAAGACTTGTTTTCTATGATTTTTTGGTATTTATTATTCGAAAAGAAACATCAAACAATATATATGTACATATATGTATTTGTGTAATAATCTGTGTAATAATCTGTCAAGTTTCCAGAAAATTGAATTAGAAGATTTGATTTCCTCAAAAAATATATTGATACTTATTTCATATTTATATTGATACTTATTTTTATCATTAATCTGAAAATAAGTTTTCAGAAAAATAAAGGTTATACTGATACATAACTGATAAATATTATTATTAAATTTTCTATTTTTTTTAAATTAAATTGGTTTTTAATCTTTAAAAACTTATTTTTTTAGCAGGAATATAAATACATAATAGAATTATGTACATGGAACATCATTTATTAAGTGTTACCGAAATATTCTTAATTAATTAAATGATTAATTCCAAATAATTCTCAATTTGTAAACTATAATTAAATTATAATTAATTTATTTTCAATATTAACTAAACAAAATTTGTCATCTTATCAAAATATTTATAATGTTTCAATAAAAATTGAATATTGTAAAAAAAATTATAAGATTTTAAATAATAAATATAATTAAATGTTTTAAATTTCCTAAAATATACTATTTTAATTTTCAAATATTCAATGCTTCAAAGATTAAATGTTGGATTGGACACGGAAGGAATCAGCAAAACTTTCTTTATTTTAATTTTGTGGTCCTATTGTTCTTTCTTAGTTGATCCTTATATCCTGATTGGAGCAAATGAAGTATACATACAAAAAATACGGTTTTATTTTAGCATAAATTCTAGAAGTAGCTAATTATGATTCGTTTATCAACCGTGAACATCCGACGTGGAACTTATCTGTGACATCAATGCATATAAATCGACAATATGTCATACATTAAGAGTTTTTGCCATAGAAAGGCACCGTATAATAAATATCATATGGCAAAACACTTCGATCTATTTATATTTATATTTAGACTTTTATTTGTTAGTCGCGCGCTTCTACCGGCTAAGCTAACGTTAATCTATAATTAACCGTTATTCTTTAATGAACACGGCGGATTATTAAAACAAAAAAATTATTTTAGAAGTTTGAAAAAAAGCACTAAACTGGATCTCGTACTTTGTACGACATGATTTGTTTGTGAGCGCGTGCGTGAGATTTGACATGATTGTGTTTTTTCGTCAAATTTATATTTTCGATAATTTTTTGCGTCCACGATTTCTCGAAAACGGATGCACAGATTACAGATTTAAAAAAATTAAATACCATTTGATAATACATTAGCTTGGATATGTATAATTGTGTTATATTGAAATTTAGGGGTCGATTCTGCCGTAAAATAAAACAATGTTATGACAAGGCTATGTTAAGTCGCGTTTTTTATATTAAGTGGTACGAAAAACTGTCAAAATGCTATATGGTCATTGTGCAATCAAGCATTTTACACATGAAATCTAACTTCTCGCATTTGCATCAGAAAGATGCACTAATATTAACATTTTGTACGTTTATGCGTATTCTAGGTTTGGTTTTATATCTAAAACACTTGACTTCACAACAACCACATAGCGTTTTGTCAGTTTTTAGTACCATTTTATATAAAAAACGCAACGTAACATAGCCGACAACGGCAGATTCGGACTCTTAATTTAGCGTTTATAGTTAAGCACAAAAGAACACAGAATTTGTTTACAGAAATGTTTTTATTTATGTATGATTATAAATTAAAAATACCATCAATCCTTTTTAACTTAAAATTAGCCCTCTGCGACTAAATGCTCAATTAATTCTGAATTTAAACTTTGCAAATGATTTTTAGTATTATGTTATACTAAAACTTATTTCTTAGATTATTTTTATGTTTTTTAAATTTATTTATTTGCTTACGTTCATAATATCACTTATGATTTGTTATGATGTCAAGAGTTATAATATGGATGATATATAAATATTTAAAAGTAGAAACATTTTTAACATAACTATAGGGTAGAGCGGTCTTTCAAGCTCTAAAAGATTTACCATCAATATTTCAAAAACAAGTGAAGTGTGAGCTTTTTAATGATAATATTTTAAAGTAGAGAAAAAATTACGTGTAATCAATCATTATCTTAAATTAGGAGATAAACAGCCACATTGTCACAATTTTAACGAAAGTATTTTTTTCGCTGTTAGTCTTTTTATTTTTAAAGACGGTTATCCAGTTTATGAGACCTGAACATAATTTTTAAGTAAAGGTTATTTATTTTATAAGTAAGATTTAACATTTTTATAGAACCTTCAGAATAACTTGGCAAGGTGCAAACAATAGTAACCAGTAAATAAAAATGCAAAAAGGCAATTATACAAGAAATACAATAAATTAATAATTATTCCTACTCTGATAATTGATTGAATAATGTAGCTATTATCCTTTGAAACCTTTTTAAAATTAAAAATAAACTGGAGGATCTTTTTGTCTCTGGCTTTTCTTTTTTTCCTCGCCTATGTGATAGAAAGGATCAGGTGACAATTATAAAAAAAAAAACAGTTATACAATTACTGATGAACTAGCTGAGAGTTTTACTGATAGTCAGATAGTTGGTTCTTTGATATGCGTTATTTCTTGTGATATATAATTGGTTTCAATTTCACAAAATAATTGCTCAAAGCCAAATTGAACCTTTGTGCCCCGCTCCACTATATAAATCTTTTGAGTACTGCTAGAAAAAACAAACGAACAGCATATTACTCAAACTTATATGATGTTCGATTATAAACATAGCTCCAAGATGTGGATAAAATGCCGTTTCTGTATATGTATGCCCCGAAAATATTCCAATTAGCGTTGCTAAAACCATATGAGGAGCTGGAAAAATTACCAATCTAACAGTATCGGTTACGTTTGCAGCTATGGACTTATTTTGTCGAACATTATCCATGTGTTAAGCGCTCATAACTTTTGAACGATTCATCATAGGATATTGATGTTTTCAGGCGAAATATTCTAAATCAAAAGATCTTTAAGTTAATCAAAAGTTTTAAGATACCTCTTACCGTTCGCGAGATATACGCCAAAAACGGTTTCAAATTTTTAAGTTTGAAATAGTTAAACGCCTATATCTCGGAAAATATTCAACATAGGGTCATGGTGTGTATGAATGAAATATTCGTATTTAAAATATGTATCTGCAGGTGCAAAAATTTTTGTGATAGCTCTAACCGTTCCCGAGATATTCGCTAAAAAACAATCGCTCCTTGTCACATATTAAAAATGCGTTTTTCTCGAAAACTATTTGAAGTGCGACCGAAATTTTTTAACCCTTTCGACTCGGATGCCGCCGCTCCGGCGGCATAGTCATTTTACCGTTGCGCTCGGATGCCGCCGCTCCGGCGGCATGATATGTTTTACCGTTAAGCTCGGATGCCGCCGCTCCGGCGGCAAATCGTGTCGGCGACGACTCGTCGCAAACTAAACTTACATTTAATTTGTTTTATTTTTTAAAAATTAATTTACTATTACATTCCATTTATTGATTGATTTATTAATTTATAAATAAATATAATAACAAAATTAATTATTAGCTCATGATCCCCATAATTCTAATAAAGATCTGTGAAGAAATGATTTTTTAAACAAAAAATAGCATGTTTTGAGTGCAATTTTTTTTAATTTTCAAATTTTCTATTTTTTATCATATAACTAATTATTTAAAAGCAATATAACCACATTTTGAAAAAATCCGATACAAAAAAAAATTCCGAGTTGAGAGATAAAATATAGCATTATAATATTCCGAGCGCAGCGTACCGACTGGCA